CTCTCTCTCAAATAAATGAAATCTTAAAAAAAAAAAAATCTACTCTTAGCAACTTTCAAATACATGATTTTGTCAACTATAGTTGCTATGCTATACATTACATCCCCAGAACATATTTATCTTCTAACTGGAAGTTCGTATCTTTTTTTCTTTCTTTTTTTAGAGAAAGAGAAGGGGGCGGGGAGGTGAGGAGGGAGAGGGACAAGCCGACTCCATGCTGAGCACAGAGCCCGACACAGGGCTCAATCCCACGACCCTGAGATCATGACCTGAGCCGAAATCAAGAGTCAGACATTTAACTGACTGAGCCACCCAGGCGCCCCAGAAGTTCATATCTTTTTATCACCTTCACCCATGTACTCCACACTCCCAGCAAGAAAAATATAAATAAATGGTACATTAACATTTTATGGTAAAATATAAAAATATTTATATGAAATATTTACATTAAAATATAAAATTTTAAGTAGTGAAACAAAGATAGGCTTCAATGGGAAGATAACATTTGAGCTAAGACTTGAGTTAGCCAAGTTGGTATCTAATGGAAGAATACAGAGCAGAAGAAACAGCCAGTGCAAAGGCCCTAGGGCAGGAGCTTGCCTGGTGTGTTAGAGGAACAGCAAGGAGGCCAATGTGGTTGGAACACAAAGAGAAGAGAGAGTAATGAAAGTCAGATACACGATGTCACAGCAGTAAGCAGATAGGACACAGTGGTCAGATCCCACACGGCCTTACAGGACACTCTATGGACTTTGTTAGCTCTTCACGAAATAGAAGCCAGTAAAGGGTTTTAAGTAGAGTAGCATGACTGAACATGTTTTCTCATGATCACAGTGATTGCTATATAAAAAGAAGTCTGCTGGGGGCCAGAGTAAACACAGGGAGACTGGGTACAAGGCTCTTTGGTAACCAACATAAAAGCTGATGGTGGCTCAGGCCAGGGAACTGGTAGTAGAGGTGGTGAGAAGTGATCACATCCTAATTATACTTTGAAGGTAGAGCCAACAGGAGTAAAAAGGAGTAAAAAAAGAAATCAAAATCCCATATCCCAGAGAGAACTGTTAATATTAATTTATTTATTCTAAGCAAATATGGACCCCTCTAAAAAGTCACGAAGCTTGCTAGCCAATGCTATGCTCTGCTCAGTTACTAACACTGTCTCCATTTTCTTTTTACTATTCCCATTCCATCTGGCCCCACCTCCACCGCTCCACTAAAACTGCTCAAAGTCACCAATTACCTCGAAGTTGTAGAATCAACCAGACACTCACCTGTCCACAATCTTGTTTCACTAACAGTATGGTGACGTGGTTGAGCCTCCCGTCTTCCTTGACCTCCGTGATCCCACACTTTCCTGGTTTTTCTCCCACCTCTCTGCCCTGCTCTTCAGTGACCTTCCTGGTTTCACCTCCTCTACTCACATGTTGAGTTTCCTCTTTAGTCGTGGGCCCTCTTCCCTTTCTAATTCCACACATTCGCCCTTGCAAATTTATTCACTCTCATGGCTTAAAATATTGGTAATATGCTGGTGATCTCCAAAGGCATTTTACACCAACTGCTCGATACACATCCCCACCCAGGTATCTTAAGGACATCTTATACTAAACATGCACAAAACAAGATCTTGATCTGCCCTCCTAAGCTGCCTCCTTTGTCTTCATTAATTCATTCAACAGACATATACTGAGCCCGTATGATATGCCAAGCACTGGATGGCACTATGAGGAGGAGGAGGTACAGCAGAAGAGAGGGTTATAGAAAGAGAACTTACAAATACTTGTGAAATCATAACCGTGTACAGTGCTATAAAGGACAGGAGGTTTTGGGAATCTGTGCCAGCAGGAAAGGGATGAAGAGAAGGGCTTCCCTTAAGAAATAATTTCTTCTTCTTCTTTTTTTTATTTTACTTATTTATTTTAGAAAGGGAGAGGAGCAGAGGGGGAGAGAGGTGGGGAAAAGAACCTCAAGCAGACTCTGCATTGAGCTCGGAGCCTGACGCAGGGCTCGATCTCACGAACTTGAGATCATGACCTGAGCCAAAATCAAGAGTCCGATGCTTAACAGACTGAGCCACCCAGGCACCCCAAGAAATAATTTCTGATTTAAGATTTCAAGGGAGAGAAGGTGTTAATCAGGCCAATACATGGAGAGAAAATGTTTCCCATTTCAGCAACTAGCATCTCCACTCACCCAAGTACTCATCCTTAATCCATATTCCCCACATTCAATCTATCACTAACTCCTGTTGAAACAACCTTCAAAATATAACTTTAATCCATCTGCTTTGCTCCATCTCCAGTACCACCACTGTGCACAAAGCCAGCCTCCTAACAGTCTCCCCAAATCTAACCTTACCCCCTCCTATACTGAGTGGCATTTGAAAAAGGCAACTCTGATACCATTCCTTTGTTTATATCCTTTAATGGCTTCCCACTGAGTTTAGGATAACTTCCAAACCCTTCTGATGACCCGGCAAGCCCTGCATGACCTGTCTGCCCACATCTCCAGCTCACCTTGAGCGTCTCTCCCCCCTCACTTTCCTTGCTCTGGCCACCCCGGCCTTCTTTGAAAGTCTCCCACACCAAGCTCTGGGGTGTGCACTTGCAGTCCTCTCTGTCTCAAACACTCTCCCCGACTCAATCATACACACACACACTAACGTCCTCTTGACCTTGAATGTCCCCCCTTTTTGGAGACATTTCCTTACCAGACCATCTAACTTCAGGTCCCGGGTCACATGCTCTCGCAACACTTTGTGCTTCCCTATAGCTCAGTTACCAATCCCCATGTATCCACGCTGATCTGTGTGGTCTCTTGTTTAACCCCCAGCTCCTGTTCTAGACCACCAGGACAAGTCCACAAAGACAGGAACATGGCTACCTAGTTCACTGCCAGGTTTCTAGCCCTCAGCCCAGTATTTGGCCCTTAGCAGCCACTTTGAAAGGAAGGTGTGACTGAATACTCACTCTGTGGTGGCTGAGAACACCCCCCTGGAGGGTGGCTGGTTCGGGAACTCCCTCTGGCCCACGACAGCAGTGCCTGACAGGGCCTGCCTCCAAGAAGGCTCCTCTCAAAGAAGCTAGGCAGTCCCCACCCTTTCCTAGTTACCGTCATAACCATTCACCACCCCGAGATCACACCCAGATCACCATTTTAGTCAAATAAACTGAGACGATTTCTCTACCATTCTTTTTTTTTTTTTTTTATTTGACAGAGAGATAGAGAGCACAAGTAGGCAGAGCAGCAGGCAGAGGGAAAGGGAGAAGCAGGCTCTCTGCTGAACAGGGAGCCCAATGCGGGGCTCGATCCCAGGACCCTGGGATTATGACCTGAGCCGAAGGCAGCCGCTTAACCGACTGAGCCACTCAGGTGCCCCTCTCTACCATTCTTTTAAGGGCTGGTCTTCTGACAGCTTTGATTACCTTCTCAGACAGTAACCTTAACTTCAGTTGCATAGATACAAAATCCCATTAATTATAACGCTTTCAGATTGCAGATAACACCATTCAGGGAAAGCAATGAATGGAAAAAACTTTACCAGTCCCTTCCATGTAAATTTTCCTAGAGACTATGACCTTGCTTAAAAAGCAATTTCTTTAAAATCGAAATTTAGAGGCACCTGGGTGGCTCAGTCGTTAAGTATCTGCCTTCAGCTCAGGTCATGATCCCAGGATCCTGGGATCGAGCCCCACATCGGGCTCCCTGCTCAGCGGGGAACCTGCTTCTCCCTCTCCCACTCCCCCTGCTTGTGTTCCCTCTCTCCCTGTGTCTCTCTCTGTCAAATAAATAAATAAAATCTTTAAAAAATAATAAAATACAAATTTAGAGTTAAAATGGAAGTCAATTAGGATTAAATATTCAGAGAATTATTCTATTTCCCACTCAAAACACATCTAGATAAGAAAAAACTAAAGTGATCTATTATATTTATAAGAGAATGAGGTGATACAGCATCTCTCTGTTAAGATTCTGAACTTTGGAATCAGAGAGACCTGCACTGGAATCCCAACTCTACCCGGGCAGATGAATTAACCTAGTGGAGGCCCAGCTCCTCCGTCTGGAATATGAGGCTCCCACAGAATCCATGTCAGGTGGGATGCTATGAAGAGTCAATTCTATGATGCACAATAGCTCTCTGCACACAGTAAGGGTTTAATAAATGTTAACTGCTCTCACTATCGGGCTTTTACACTTTCAACACATTCTAAGTCTATTGTTATATCAACAAACATCTACTAGTTCTTTTGGGATGAAGGCACTGGGTGAAGCGCTGAAGGTAAAGAAATGGGAAGAACTAAGCTCTCGACCCCAAGGAGTGTCTCGGCTCAGCCAGTGCCATCTATCAAGTGACTGATGACAAGAGCCTGCAAACCAGTCTCTCTGCTTCCAGGCTCATTATGTTCCATCTATGTTCCTTCCAGCAGCCAGAGGGGTCTTTCAAACCACAAATCAGGATAGGATATTCCCATTCTCCAAAGCCTTCCCTTCTGCCCTTAGAATTAAGTCCCAGCTCCTTCACATTGCAAACAAGGTCTGCTAGGGAGCCTTCCTCAGAAGCCCTATCTTTCTTTTTTTTTTTCTTTTTAAAGATTTTATTTATTTATTTATTTGAGAGAGAGAGAGAGAGAAACAGCATGAGAGGGGAGAGGGTCAGAGGGAGAAGCAGGCTCCCCGCTGAGCCGGGAGCCCGATGTGGGACTCGATCCCAGGACTCCGGGACCATGACCCGAGCCAAAGGCAGTCGCTTAACCAACTGAGCCACCTAGGCGCCCAGAAGCCCTATCTTTCATCACTTGCCCCCTGCCCTCTTAACTTCGCCATGCTAATCTTCAGCTCTTCTGAACTATTTCTAGCTCCCCAAACTGGCCTGCTCTCTCAATTTGTAGGCTCTGAACAAGTTGCCCCTGCCTAGAACCCAGATTCCTATTCCTCCACCTGGATGACTTCCAGTACCCTTTCAGAACCTCCATACAGATGTCACTCCTCCAGAAAGCCTTCCCTGATGCTTATCTCCCAAACACAGAATAAGGGCACCTCCTCTTAGCTCATTCCTGTGATGGATGGAATATACTCTTGTAATTACAAGAGCAACTATCAATCTGCCTCCCTCATCACAAAGGGAAGGCAAGCACCGCATCTTGCTCATCACTAGGTCCCTGTCCCCCAGAGCACACAATCTAGCATGAGGTAGGTGTTTAGGGTTTCTTGTGAAAAGAAGTTAACATGTCAAGTGGCAACGAGAACCACAATATGGCTCATGCTACAGCCACAGAAGAGCTCTATCACAGACAAATGTGCTCTATCACAGAGCATTTCAAGCGCTTTGCCCTATGTCCAGTTTGGTTACAGAGCAAATGACTACCCCCCTCCTTTGCTTACCCAGTAAAGGACTATGAGCCCTTTATGCAACTTGCATAAAAGCCACCACTTGAGTGAACAAGATTCAGGTAAGAAAGCAGCAGGAGATAAAGTTGGGGGCAGACTCTGGAGACTGATTAGGAGATAAGCTGTAGGCCAAGGGCAACCATTGATGGCTTTTGAGTCAAGGGGTGACAAGGCCATGGCTGTGCTTTAGTAAGATCATTCGGACAACAGATGATGGGCTGGAGAGTGAAAGACAGGAAGGAGGTAAGGAGTTGGGTTAGAAAGAGGGTGAAATGACCTCGGCATGTAGTGAAACAGGCTGAAAAGAGAATGGCCAGCACTTGCAGAACAGTCCTGATGCAGGCAGGAAAATGAAGGAACAGGGAGGGAATACTAACAGCCACTTTTTATCTTTGCAATGCCTTGCAATTCTCAAAGTGCTTCATTTATAGCTGTGATTCTCAAATGGGACAGCACATTAAAATCATCTGGAAAGGCTTTAAAAAATACCAATGTCCAGGCCTTACACCCAAAACCAATTAAATCAGAATGTAACCTCCATTAGGGCAGGGATTTTACCTGTTTTGCTTGCTGTCTGTTTGAACAGTATCCAACACATGCATGGTGCTCAGGAAACATTTACTGAATGAATAAATGAATGAATGAATGTATCATTATCACCTGAGATCCAAGGGACAATTCTGTTTAAAACTTATGGAGTAACCAGGCAATGTGAGTTACCATGGCAGCCCTGGGAAAAAAATACTACTAAGTTAGGCCCCTGCTCTCAGGAGCTTACATTCTTTCCACAATAAGTAAAACTTTCTTATTTCCAGAGCACTATAATATACAACATGTATCTCAATAACAACTAGAGGTTACTCAATGTGAGGAAAAGGAAAAGAGAGGAGCTTTATTCAGTGGCTAATGAACTGACAATAAGAAATTAAGGGTCATGGGCAGAGACTGGCTCAGACAGATTCCAATCCTTATGAGATTTTGAATCAATCATATTGTCAGGACTTGAGCATGGTGAGAAAACAGCCATATACTAACCAGCTTCCCTGCCCCAAATATTTGGGCAGAACCCAAATGCAAGTACATACCTACGTATTACTCTTTTCTGATAATTCCTTCAGTGTATCTGTTCTGGCTTGATGCAAAGTAAGACTTTGTTTTTATCTGAAAAAAACAGTGGCACATGTAAATGGATAAAACCTGTTGAGTCAGATGTCCAAGAAGCTACATAGATAAGGAACAAGGAGCCCTGAGTTCTTGAAAGAATCATACAAGTAGTATAAAATCACAGTATCTTAGAGTGTCCTTTATATCAACTCCCCTCTATCATATTGCCAACCAGCAGTCATCTGGCCTGGATATGAACTTTTCAATGATGGAAAACTCCTCACCCTCAGGACAGATCTGGGCAATCCTAGTTGCTACAGCAGTTCTTTATATCAAATTCAGAATCTGCCTGTTACCTATGGGTCCTA